ATAATGCGATTTTTGCTTACTATTTCTCCAATTTTGTGGTATTAATTGTGAATATGGTAAAGAAGAATATCTCCAAGAAGCGTTCTGGTGATAGAATTCCCGGTGATGATCGTAAAAGAAAGGATGTAACACTTGAAGAGAAGCTCGATGTTATCAACCTCAAAATCACTCTTCTCCCCCATCAAGTTACATTCATATTTTTTCAAGGTAAAGTGTTACATTTACTATATGATTTCATTATTAGATATGAATGTAACATTTATTTAGACTGTGCTATCCTTTGTGTTAGGCTAACTACTAAATTTTTTCGATTTTGAGTAATCTGCACCAAACCATATTTTCTCCATAAGCCCTGTTATTTCTATTACGCGATTTTCTATAACACGATATTTTACAAGAACACAATTATCGCGTTATAGCAGAACTACCTGTACCCTGCCGAACACGGAATGCTCACTTTACGCGGTGCGTGTACCCTTTTACGCGGCTGGCGGTCCTCTCGCGCCGCACCATTTTTGGATTCAAACCTCCCGCCATGTTGGGTAAGCGGCGCGAGTAGGTTGCGCAGTGCATGTCTTTGTTGCGTTATCGGTGACGTCATATGACGCATCGGACTGTGATTGGGCCAAGCATCCTTACCTCCCTCCCCCGCTAGCTGTGATTGGTTTAATGTACTATAACGTGCCCCGCAAAGGGAGCGTTCAAGCCCCTTGACCTACCCGCGTCAGTTACACCCCTCCCGGGTACACCGTGTATATCGGTATCCATTGTTCCATAAGAATGGCTTCCACCGGACCACCACCACCACAAAGAAACCTTGTATTACCTGGACCCAGCCGCCCTAAGCCAAAGAAGATACGATGTTCCCTAAGCTATGAAATTAAATACAAGATCATACAAGAGTTGGAGAAAGGAACAAGACAGGTTGATCTCGCGCGCCAGCATGGTGTTAACGAATCTACGATCCGGACAATTAAGAAGGATGCAGCCAAGATAAAGGAGCACATGAACATCACAAAGTCTACAGGTGCTTCTATGATCAAGTATTGCCACAACCAGGTGCTTCTCAAGACGGAGAAATTACTTGTGAGCTACTTGATTCGTCAGGCGCGACGGAACATGGCGGTGGACACGCGTTCAGTTAAGGAGTACGCACGTGAACTGTATGCTGCAGTGTCATGTAAGATGGGAATTGCAAAGCCCAAACCCTTCAATGCTTCCTCTGGGTGGTTGCAGAGGTTTAAGAAGAGGAACAAGATCACCAACATTAACATTGGTGGTGAAGAAGAGAGTGCTGACCGTGTTGCAGCTACGGATTTTCCTCCGTTTTTACGTGAGATTATGGAGGAAGGACAGTACACTGACGACCAGGTGTTTAACATGGACGAATCTGGTCTTTTTTGGAAAAAGCTACCTACCAAGACCTTCATTGTGAAGAATGCCAGCAAGTGTCGGGGCCGGAAGTTGCAAAAGGAGCGCATCACTGTCCTGTTTACCACCAATGCCTCCGGTACCTGTAAGCTCAAGTTATCGGTGATCCACACAGCACGCAAGCCGCATGCCTACAAGAGCATGGACATGACCAGGCTAAATGTCCACTGGCTGACCGCATGTAAGGCGTGGATGTCCTCTACTCTGTCCCTCTCCTGGTTTGATGACTGTTTCGTTCCCGATGTGAAGAAATTCTGTGAGCAACAGAATGTTCCATTCAATATTTTGTTGCTGCTTGACAACGCACCAGGACACTTGCCCCTACTGTTAGATCGTCACGCATGGAGACATGTGTTGCATGGTATTCCAGGTGGGAGGTAGAGTCAATCTGTGACTGGTGAGGTTCAGACTGTTGCAGTAGCAGTGGACCTTGCCAGAGAAGCTGCGCAGAGTGTTACAGCTGCAGGCTTCTCCGAGACCACCAACGACGACATCCTGGAGGTGATAAGGGATCCTGATGTGACTGCCAACGAGATGTTAGATGATGATGACGTCAGTGAAGAGGCAGGTGGTGCGTCATTCCAAGAGGAACGCAAGTTATTGCATAGTAATGTAAGGGGTGTCATCGAGTGTGCTGAGAAACTCAAGCTCCTCCTTTCTGACGACCCTGACGATAACCGGTATGAAGTCTTCACTACCCAGATGTTGCAGACTATGGAGCCCTACATCAAGGTGTATCACGACAACATCAACACCAGCCGTCAGCAAAGCATTACCGAGTTCTTCGCCCGCAACCCACCACAGCCAGCCCAGGCCAGTGATAGTGACAGAGACAGTGATGGTGACTTTGAGGGATTTGTCAGGGAGGCACTAATAAGTGTGGATGACAGTAATGAAGACTCACCCGAGGGCCAGTAGCCTGCCCTCTGCCTCGGAACCAGCCTCCATTCCTGTACGCCGACCCATCTCTTCTACTAACATAAGTGTTAACCCTAACCTTGTTTTTTCTAACCTAACCAACAGTATATTATTCTCTTATTGATTGTTCCCTACTATATTATTTGTGTGTGCATACCATCATAAAGTTAAGATGTTATTTTTACTAAAATGTATGTATTGTGTTGGGAAAAAGTGGAGTTTGGGGGTCGGCTCGGTCTCTATTTCAATTAATCCCATATGTTATGTTGTTCACTTTACGCGTTTCTCGCTTTACGTGGGCCGCCGTGGGTTCAATTGACCGCGTAAAGTGAGGGTTCACTGTACTGGATTTTAAGTTACTTTGAGGCGTGTACAGTATAGTCTCGATTTACACGGATTTTGTTTACGCGTTTGGTCATTTACGTGGCACCTTGCCAGAATAACAATTCTAAGTTACGCGGTTCATTCCATCATTTACGCGGGGAGGGTGCGCATTATGTCGCTCTTACGTTATCGCTGACGTCATATGACGTATCGGACTGTGATTGGGCCCCGCATCCTTACCTCCCTCCGCCGCTAGCTGTGATTGGTCTAATGTAACATGACGTGCCCTGCCACCAGAGGGAAGAAGTCGCTGACCTAGCCAGGCCAGTCTCATTGTTCTCAGTCTCCGCGTATACAGTTCTCTCTTGTGCCCGCTATTCCCCTCACAATGGCTTCTGCTGGACCCCCACCACCCCCGAGAAACCTTGACCTACCTGGACCAAGCCATGGTTATGTGAAGGAAGTCATCGAGTTGGCGGAGAAAATGAAGCTCATCCTTGACAAATACACAGTCAAGCATCGGTATGAAGTGTTTAATAACCTTCTGTCGAAATTTATGGAGCCATATGTCCAGATGTATGACGACAACATCAATGCTAGTCGTCAACGTAGTATTACGGACTTCTTCGCCCGCAACCCACCACAACAACAGCCACAGGCAGCCCAAGTCAGTGACAGTGAGGATATGGACTTTGAGGGGTTTGTCAGGGAGGCCCTGCAAACCAATGTGAATAGTGATAGTGATTCACCGGAGGGCCACTAATCTGCCCTGTGCCTCGGAACCAGCCGCCATCCCCGCATGCCAACCCATCTCTTCTACTAACGTAAGTGTTAAACACCTTTATATTTGTACAGTAGTGTAGTTTTTTATTTAGATATTATGTGTGTCAATACCATCATAAAATTATAATGTTATTTTTACTACAAGGTACGTATTGTGTCGGAAAAAGTGGAGTTTGTAGTCGGCCCAGTCTCTATTTCAATTAATCCCATATGTTCTGTTATTTCGTTTACGCGTTTCTCGTTTTACGCGGACCTCCACGGGTTCAATTGACTGCGTAAATCAAGACTATACTACATGTCGTATTACCGGCAGCTTTGTTTACATATCAAAGAGCTGATTGTAGAGGCAGTCGATGATGACATGCCATATTCTTAACAGAGTGCATTGGTTCTAATGCCTTCTTCATGTTTCATAATAATTTTTGCACTGTATATTATCAATATGTCAACTAAATTTCAGAATGACCAATAGTTTTAATATAAAAAATGCAGAAATATTCAAGAGACCAACTTTCTTTATATTTACTTCACTGGAAACGAATGTAAACATAGAACCAATTACTGTATTGGCGGACTAGCCGATTAGCTGTTGCGCACAACAAAACGTGTTTTTCGTAAGGATTCTGGTAATCGAAGTTTTGCTCGTTAATCGAACTGAAAATCCTTATGGGAGCTAATTCATAAACCAAAATTTCGTTAATCGAACCGTTCGTTAACCAAGGGACCACTGTACTCAAAAATTATTCTACTATCTACGTAAAACATTAAAAACAAGTTTAACAACAAAATAAAATCAGTTTAAATTCATCATGCAGTATTAACCCTTTGGATGCGGCATGCGGGTAAACCCGCCCAAAATATTATATTAATTAAATACGACAAGCGGGGATATCCCACGGCCTTGAAAAAACTTCCCCAAATGAGACGACATGCGGACATATAAGAACAGCCCAGTCCCAACCATTGTAAAGATTATCAATAACTTGTAATAAATCAGTGTATTCACTCCCAGTAAACACTGCTCCTTACACTGTCACTATGTTGAAATGAACTGTAGTTTGAGCTTTTCCCCATCTAGTTATTATATGTCTTATTTGTGTCACTTATGTTACTTGTATATTATTTGTAATTCGTAACCCATTCCCCAAATATGTAACTGTATATTTTCAGCCTTCTGGCTGCCAAGCTCTTTCAATAAACCGTTAATTATTATTATTTATTATTATTAGGTATAGGAGTATTTCCTGAATGCAATATAGCTTATTTTTGTACTATTTTGTTTGATATTATCTGAATATGTAATACATATCTAAATTTGCTGTTTAGTAACCAAATTGATTAAATTTATTTGCCATATACCAGACATTGATTTATACCAATTTCCTGCATTTTTGGGTATAAATGTCATTTTTTCTCTAAAATTTGCACACATGTGAATTTTTGTTCCAGATTTGGAAAATATACTAAAAGTTCTCTAGGAAAAACATATAGAAAATGTGATTATATGAAATTCATTTTTGGCAGGATAATTGACACTTTTCAGGAACCGGCGCGAAATTTAATTACGCACCTAAAGGGTTAACAATAATTTCTTCTCTATATCAAAATTTTCATACAGTGGCAAAGGGATATACTGTACAGTACATGACTGGTGGGACAATGTATGGGTGGGGCTTTCAAACCCCTGCTAAGACATGTGTGTGAATGACTGAAGGTAATATGTGGGAAGATTCTTCATACTGCAGCTAAGACAAACTTTTACTGTACTTCACAGACTGCCTACCATACTGTACAGGAAGTAGCTAACAAGTGGGGCTACATGTCCTAAGAAAAACTGTGAGGTGAATGTTAAGATTTTGTCCACATATATTTTAAACATTTAAAAGTTACAAGTCTGCCAAGTGGTGAAGATGGTACTACAGAAGATCTCAATCTGTGAGGTTAAGGAAGGCAAACATACAATTTAGTAAATTGGGATTATAAAAATACATGCAAATGTCTTAAGAATTGGAAGGTTTTGACTGCGACTAGAGTTGCCCTCATTTAACAGAATAGCTAATGCTTCCGATAACCTTGTGATATAACTTGTATCATCTTTTAACTTGTATTTATTTTTATTAAATACACAATTGTCAGAATTTCATTTGAAGACTACATATAGATTTGTACATTTTCATCAGTGCACTACAGCAGCCCCAACTACATCTTTCTCACTACCAGGTTGATCATTATGCTGCTGTTCATCTTGCTGCTTTTTGACATTTGCATCTTTAAGTACATCTATCCAGGCTGCTCCACCATCTTGTGAACACCAGTGACACACCATTTCCTGTATACATACAGCTAATACCTTATTCTTTAGCAATGCCATACACACATTCACCACATCCTGGTAGCTAAGGATAGAAACTGAAGGACTTTGAGGCATCCAACAACAACCTTCACCGGAGAAATGAGGTTCTAATTTCTGTATCTCTCTGTTTAGAGTTGATAGTACTGACTTTAAGAAACTTGGGTTTTCAATTAATAATTCACTTAGTACTGAGGAAGGTTCAGTGCATAAGCTACGGACTAAACGCCTGTGATTGTTGTCCAGTGGAGACAGCAACACACCTTCAAACCAATTAATAATCTGTGGACCTAAACATATATTTTGATTAATACTGCCTGCAGCATTATCCAGTTTGGCAGCCTCTAGAATCTGGGATAGTCCTCTAGGTAGCACAACCATTTTACTGAGACAGTCCTGCAGCTCACCTTGACCAGAACTATTGGCAGCCTCCAGCATCAGTCGTGTTTGTAATCTTCTCTTTAAATCTTTATTTTGTCTTAGTGTATTATTAAGTTTCTTAAAGAATTTTTGCTGCTGTGAGGCTTGTTTGTGGAGTATGGCAGCTTCATCAGAGCCCAGCACTTTGTACACCACATAATGGACATGCTCCTTTACATCAGGCTTCAATAACTGGTTCTGTACCAGGAGTCTGAGCAGAAGTTGACGAGCATTCTTCAGATCGTGCACTGTTAGAACCCATGGGGACTGTTTAGCTAGTTGAGAGAGAGCAAGCTCCATGCTACCATTATGAAAAAATTTCCTTGCTGCTCTCTCGCAATAAGCACCCCAAGATACTGCTCGGTCAATGCCATCCTGCGTCCAGTTAGTTTTACTAGTGGCGGCTGGCAGCAAGTCATGCATGAAGTATAAAATGTTACCAAACACATCCTTCCACATGTTAAATGCTTAAACTGGGATATTAAATGCTGCAAAAGAGCAATTACTATTTACTTTCATTTGGACAAAATTATGTGGACCTCAACTGCCACAGGTTCTGGGGCTGCTTGTTTCAACAGGTACCACAATTCAGATATTGTACATTAAGTACCAGTAGCATCTTCTAAACATGTACTCATCCTGGTATAATACAGTATATGAATAACTTATTGTATAAACAAGTAGGCATTTTTCTTCTTAAAAAGAAAACTTGTTTCTTCTTGGCCAATGAACTTGATTCATCTCATATGATAATTATACTTCTTCTAAGCAGACAGCCTTCCTCCTCCCTCAGTGGGTACCTTACTCAGTTCAGGACAGGTTTCATCTGCTGAGAGAAGAGGAAGGCTGCATTCAGTGTTGACTTCTAACAACAGTGGGATTCCCCCACACCTATATGTAACAATCTGGAGTTCCTGCATCTATATGTTACACTCCAGGGCTCATACATCTATTAGGAACACGGTCAGATGTCAGACCCACCCGCCCCCCCTCTCTACATAGCACATAACAATGATACTTTTATCAAGTCTGCGGAAACTATACATCTAATATACTATAGGAATAGCCGTGTGTGTGTGTGTCTGTTATGGGCAGCCGAAACGGCACAATTGTTTTTCATCAAACTTGGTGGAAAAAATCGCAAAAAATTCGTAGAGTGGAACAAACCTGGTCTCATGTCGATGGTTTCTTTAGGAAGGCATTAATTAACCATTTTGTCGCTGTACGCGGTCAGCCGTATGGCGGTTGCGCGCTAGCCAAGCACGAGCATTCAAACTTTCACCGGGCACGAAGGGTCCGCTATCACTTGTTTTCCACTAGTCCACCAGACTAGTAAATGCTCAAATTCACTAAACTACAGTTTTACTAGCCCCAAATATTTTCCAAATTGTGAGAATACCCTGTACTGTACTGTATCTAACATTCGAAGTGATTGAATGAAAGTTGTTACACAAAATGGATACAGGTAGCTACAAAGAACATACACTCATAATTATTAATAATATTATGAGTGGTTATAAAAGCATTTGATTCCCAAATATCTTTCTATTACTGTACTTTAATTGGAAAAATATATACTGTACCTTTATTTTTTTTTGCACGAGGCCATACAGTAGTACCCGATGGTCAATTGAATCCACGGGGTACCGCGGAAAGTGAAAACCGAGTAAAGTGAACAACAGAACATATGGGATTAATTCCAATAGAGACTGGCCCGACCCCCAAACTCCACTTTTTCCGACACAATACCTATGTTGTAGTAAAAATAACATCTTAATTTTATGATGGTATGCTCACACAATTAATATTTAAGAGAAATACAGTCTCCAGGTTAATGTCCATTCAAATAATGGACTCAAATCCCCCTCTTCCCAGCTCACTAGCTCCTACCTCTCTGAGAAATGTTTGGGTGAAAACACTAGATTTTAACATTTAGTAATAAATAATACCTCAGACTAAAGTTAGGATAATATAATTGACATTTCTGGATTCCTTGCAGGTCAGGGAATATTTTGAATGTAAACTTCATATATTTTGCACAAAAGATAAAATATTTGCTTTGTGTAAACCAAATTATTACATTAGATCTAAAATTTGTATGTCTAATGCAAAATCCATGATGTTTATATTCAAAATGATCATCATATTGTAAGAATTCCAGCAATGTAAATTATATTCTGGCCGGGTAATTTGTATGAATTTTATGAGCTAAAACAAATATCTTCAGTAAATAAACAAAGAAATATTCTTCAAGGACACTATCTGTCAATCAAAGTACCCCACCTTGCCTCCCCCCCATCCTCACACTCACGCCAGCTGGGTCGGTCGGTCCCAACCCTCCCCCCCACCTTCCCTCCCTACCAGAGAAATGTTTGGGTGAAAACACTAGATTTTAATGTTTAGTAATAAATAATATCTGACTAAAGTTAGGATAATATAATTGACATTTCTGGATTCCTTGCAGGTCAGGGAATATTTTGAATGTAAACTTCATATATTTTGCACAAACGATAAAATATTTGCTTTGTGTAAACCAAATTATTACATTAGATCTAAAATTTTTATGTCTAATGCAAAATCCATGATGTTTATATTCAAAATGATCATATTGTAAGAATTCCAGCAATGTAAATTATATTCTGGCCGGGTTATTTGTATGAATTTTATGAGCTAAAAAAAAAAAAAAAAAACTTATACTTCACCGCGTATATGAGTAGATGCACCGCGGAAAGTGAAAGTCTGGTTCTGGCAAGGTACTGCGTAAATGAGAAATATCGCGGAAAGTGAAACCGTGTAAAGCGGGGTAATATTGTATTTTCTTTATGGCTAAACAATGTTAAGACACTTTCACTTTTGCATGTGGCAAAACCACCACATACCCAGAGGGCTAGTACAGTACCTACAGTAAATATAAAAGTAATTTGTCCTAAGGATTTTCCATGCAATTCTCTGAAACCCTGTTAATGGCTGAATAATGTTTATGTGATTGGGTAAAATCTCATGGTTCCTATAGTAGGACCTCATAAGACTGATATTTGGCAGGGTAGATTATTATGTTTTAGGCTGTGGATATTGCCAACAACACATGAGAGAGCTGACTGGCGGCAACATTCCCACCATCTAAACAAACCTGTTGGAATTCAAGATGATGCTATAACTCATCAGGGGGTGAGCGTGGGATTTGTTTTTCTCATAGAAAACATAATTTTCTCCAATTATAGAATTTCAATGTGTTACTACTGTACAGTGTTACAGTACATTGTATTGTAGAAGATGGCTCATTGTTTCATACTGATCAATGTGTTTCAAATCTAATCCAGTTTCTTATAAATACAGTACAGTTCAGGAATAAAACCATGAGTGTACTGTACTGCATGTATTTCACTTACTATCCTTATCACTGGCTTTATTTGTAATGGGAGGCTCGTACAGTATGGTGGATACAGCAGCATATTTTGTTAATTCACAATATACTGTACAATAGTGTTTGAATAAATAAATACAGCTTTGTGGCTGTCCGACTGCAGTTAAGCCTCCATAACAACGGTGCTCCATGCCAGATACGTAGTTTAAACTGTGATGCATTCACCAAGGCTGATAAATACTTAAATAGTTCATGAGCATAAAAAATATAAATCTGATGTTCTTACTTAAGACTTAGCAAAAACTATAGTAAGTGTGAACTTTATGCCAACTTCAAAACAGAACTATCCTATATTGTACATCAATTCTAAAATATATTTATAATTGAAGTACAGTAGAGTACAGTACACATAATACAGTACTTTACTGATACAAAAATGAGCTTAAAATGTCACGTGAATGTTGTTCTGATATCAAAGAATACTAATGGTAATTTGTCTTAAGCAAAATTTTCAGTTTCAAGCTACCATTATCCCTTATATTTGAGATGCAGTACAGGTACACATTATCTTCAGCAAAACACACACACGCACCTTCTGAATAAGACTAATGCCCCCTGAGTCTGGTTTATTACCACACACACACACAACCAGAGAACTCAGCTTTATACAGTACAGTACAGTATGTAGAGCCTACCGATCTTTTATCTAAATGACAATGTACAGTACACACAACATCCTGTCACACACACTCAAGTTTCTGACGTAGAATCTTTCCTAAGGATCTTCACAACATTAAATAACCAGCAACAAGGATAAACATAATTCATACAAAACAGACTAGGCCACTAGGAGATGCCTTTAACAACTCTCCAGTGTATGGTACAGTACAGTACACACTTAACAAATTTGAAGTTATTCTGACTTTCCGTTCTCTTAAAGGATAAAAAAAAACTAAAAGTACTCTGAAAAAAGATAATTAAATGCAACAAGTATTACCAACCCAAAATAGTAATAATAATACCGTTATAGTAAAAATTACACATCTGTACTCACACTTTGTATGGCAGTTTGGGGTCCGAGGTGAGGGTGATCTTGAAGGTCACTTTAGATCTGAAAGTCAGGTCAAGCATTATTTCCTCTCTCTTTCCAACAAGTTTTATAGTTTTGGTCATTCCATATAAAAAAACAAACAACATATTTACCAATATTCTCAATTATCTCTGAGTTTTGGTAGCTACAGGAACTAACTTGACTGAAAACTTGTTGTAATTATTCTTTATACAGTAGAAGTAATAAATTTGCAATGTTTGACTAGAAAGGTATGCTACATAAATCTTGAGTTTCATTTATGAACTAGATTTTAGATGCTAAATATTGACTGAAAAATTATACTCAGATTATCGAGAATACGAATTAATCAACTGTGTACTGTACACGACCTGTATATCGTCCACTGACAGCATTAGCTATAAATATTTCAGGGTGTAACATAATCTACCAATACAACCTCACTGTGCTAAGACCCCAGTAAGTTTATGGATATCTTACATTACTGTGTCTGAAAACTATGTGCCAGTAGTATTTACTTGGTCAATTCAGGTAGAGTACTGTACAGTTCTCCATAGTTTGGTCTGTAACCAAGCTCTCTGGGTGCACTCCTGACCATCCAGGCTATTACTACAGTAGCTACTTGCCAACTGTAAGTCAGCAGAAGCAATACTGTACAACCTGGGTGATGAGGATTATGCTGTCAGATGTGATTAAGCTGGGCTGCCATATCCAAACTGATCATACAAGAAGAACTTTTGTTGTTCCAATGGACACTTGCATTCTTTAAGTAGGATGACATTTGTTCTCTTATACTCCCCATCTGATCTTCATTCTAAGCATATAAATAAACATGGCTGTCAAAGACTGAAGTAATAAAGTGGTGTTCTTATTCTCCCTTTCACCTTGAGCATATGACTAATCCACAGTGACCAACTTTCACCTCCTCAAAACTAAAGACAGTTTAACAAGTGGATGGGTGAGCTGGTTCAATCCTGCTATTTATACTATCTACCATATAACATTTTACTATACAACATAGTAATTACTTTTGTGCCTCATGAAATCATCGAAAATGCAAAAGCATTATGTTTTGCATAAATTGCTTTCATGCTTTTTACATCTTTTGTCTGCAGAGGACGATACCAAAATCCACCCGCTGGCAATTCCTGACATCTGTTAACTTTATGATTCGTAACTTCAATCAAACTACGTATCTTACAAAACCAAACCTAAAATACTACCAGTACCTAACCAAACCAAAACAAGTAAGAAGATATTCTTTTTAGGTCCATTGTACCCACACACGATCAATGAGACGACAATATGGCGTCTGATCTCAGTTGATAGCGCTGACCGCATCTGTTAATTAAAGTTAAAAGAAATGGTAAATTTTCTTATCATGCAAATTGTGTTGCTCGTGCATTTTTGTAGATTTCATAAGATAAGAGGGTAATTTATGAGGAAACCGCCGCCAGTTGAAAGAATTGTTTGATTTCGTTCATTTTTTCCACACACGTTCTTATCATTGTAGTAAGCATTTTAAAAGAGGCAAAAATTTTTAATTTTCTGGGTAAAACACGATGAAAAACTGATCATACGACACCTAAATGATGTCTTTATGTGCTTCTTACATAAAGAAATGAATTATTTACTCTTCCAAAAAATTTAACGATTCACCTCATGTCGTTTGTTTATTTACAACAGAGCTGCTTGGTCCGAGAAAACTCTAACGTATGAAGAAAAAAAAAGGTAAATGACACCATGATGCTTCAACAAAGTTGCTTTCATTGGTACCAGTTATCAAAATATAAGTAAAATTTTAATTTCGGTCACCCATGTTTTTCCGACGTTTTTTGACGTTTCAAATGATTTTTATCAAACCTAACCACAGAAACAAGGAACTATATCTAACCTAACCTAAATTCCTAAGATTCCCCGGATGACAAACTAATATAATACCCAAATTAGTACTACTTTCTGCTTAATGTGGCAGGGGGTCCGGGTGGGCGGAGTCCCCCGGCTAGGAAGATAGGTAGGAGTCTTTGGGTGGTTAGGTTAGGTTTTATTAGGTTCTAGTAAAGGTCAGCACTTTTAAAACACTTACTATAAAGAAGAACATCTATGGAAAAAATTAATAAAATTGAACAACTCTTTCTAGGGGTCCGACTAATTACCCAAATGTAGCCAAATATAGCCGGAATGAAGTCAAATAATGGTCCTAGATGAATAAATCAGACTGCCAATCACTTCTCGACTAGTATTTGGTGTCACGAAGTCACCAAAAATTGGTAAACTTAATTTAATCTGAGTTAATAGATCAAGTGCATGTACCTAACCTAACCTAACCTAATCTAATCTAATCTAATCTAACCTAACCTAACACAACACAGATTAAATTAAGTTTACCAATTTTTTGTGACTTTGTGACACCAAATACTAGTCGAGAAGTGATTCACAGCCCGATTTACGCTTGTAGGACCATTATTTGACTTCATTCCGGCTATATTTGGGTACATTTGGGTAATTAGTTGGACCGCTTTCTAGTGGTAACAGTGTTCTCTTACATTACTGGTAAGAAGGCATTTATGTTTTATGGTACATATAAAATATCGTACAGTACCTGAGTAGTTAGGGTGCATAATTGGTCTTAATTATTATCCTCTGTTTCATTCAAAAGAAACAATGGTGTATAACCAATACTTAGGACTAGTTCTTTAACGAGGCTATTTTTTTTTTTTGCAACATCATATTTGTTCTTAGAAAAATTATCTCATGATCATGTAGTAATTCAAGTACAAGTTACAAAAGGTTTTATTATCATTTAGGTCATCCAGCGAATTATAGGGGGCCCGGTTAGGTTAGGTTGGATTAATTTGTGTCCCTAAATACAAGAATGACCGAAACTAATAATTTAACAGTTACAAAAGAATACCGAGGTCACTCCACTCAAAATCATGACTGCTCATTGCTGTGGACTCTACTGATGTCATGATTCCCAGTTAAGTGTCATGTCCTCAACAAGAACACCAACTGTGAACATCAGAAAATGGTAAATGTCTACCATAGAAGATATTATCTATAACTAAATGCCATCTAATAACATCCACTTGTTGGGCGAGTGTCAAGTGTTACACCCAGCTGCAGTGTTCCTTACATCAACCACAGTAACACAACGTAACAATACAAATATAGGTAACTTGTGACTGAAAAGTGAGTTAAATGAACGAGACAACAATAAAGGAAAGGCGTTAAACTTACGTCATGGTGAAGGTGAAGTGTGACAGCTGTTGTTTACCTCCAAGTGGCAGCTGCTTCCTCCCGCCGCCGCCAGGTGGCTCCACCAACACACCCGCGGGGCCAACAATTTCTCTAACTGTTTAGGACATTTATAATTTGTAAATGAGAAATTGGTGTAATTTTTTTATATTTATATATAGCATAAGTAAATTAAATAAATTAACGGAAATAACCTAAATATTATTTATATCGCATCAAACAATAAGTTTTTTGCAATTAAACAAATTTATGAGACCGCATCCACCGAGATGCTTCTATTCAAGTTACTTCATGTTTAATTTAAATCAAAGCATCAGACCTTTATTAAATTTTATATACATTTATATGCCAGTAGCCTGGAATATAGCAAGCCCAAATAGCTCTATAATCGGACATAACAACTGGGTCCCGACTGTTTCCAGCGGGTGTTGAAGGTCACCACCACCTGGAGGCCGTGTGTTAGATCTGTCAAGACAAAACTTGGACTTTCATTTATCATTTCATCATCAGTTTACAAGCCCCTCGCGCGGTAGGTTTGTTCTTTATTACTATATAATGAACATTTTATGAAAGTGTTTAATTCTGTAAATATAACAAGAGTGTGAACTACTATAAATTCTAGAATCTTTATGAAGAAAATGTGACCTTTTATTGTGTAGTACAATAACTTACTGCTGCACTTAGGTCTCGCTGGCTGAGGTACAAATAAAATATTAGATTGATTATGTTAACTTGAGGTAGGTTTGGGATAGGTTAGCATTAGGGTGGTTAATCTTTAGGTGAAATATGCTGGCGGGGTGATTCCTTCTGCTACCTGTTGTGTGATGTTAATGATTGGTCTTGATATATTAAAGGACGATTTAAGATGAAACAATAAATATCTCTTCCTAATGTGTGTTTATCAATGGTTGTTCCGTTAAGCGAGTGTTCGTCAGTTTTTTTCAGATTCTATCGACTTTGATTGTTCCGTTAAACCTAACCTATAACCTTTTCAAACTGAACTTTAACCTAAAACTAAGTTACAGTATATTGTCACACTCGTTTACAAGACTTAGTGTGTATAGGTAGACCCTCGTCAGTGTGACTGTTGGCCTTCCAATAATACGTCTCGTGTCCGTTAATTTCCCTATTTATCACGTATGGTTTATAGTATTCAGGAAGCGACTTGTGAATTTACTTTTGATGGGAAAACTTTTAAATAAATATTACAGATGATTATATCCCAATAGCTATCGTGATTATTACAGCAAATTAATAGATTTACTGTATTTATTTTCAGATTGCCCCCGAGGGGGCTAGTTTATTGGGCACCTCCTTACATCCTGTGCAAGGTGAAGAGCAGAATCGTTTACAGCGCCCATCTGGGAAGCATGCGGAGTTCATGCTTGCCTTTATGACTCATGCATTAGGGCGTAGAAGCCTGAAGGGTCATGGGTTTTGTCAGCAAGTTACATAAAGTGACAGAATGATGAGTGTGTGGGGGGAAAATTCCCGGTACAATATATCTGTTTATGGCAAAGTGTGGCAGGTCCCTAATAATGTCAAGTGCCAGGCCTGTCACTAGGAGGAGGAATATCTGGTCAGGGAGGGAAGAGGTGTTGGTAACGGCTGGAGACGCAAAATACTAGTAGCTGGTACAGTACTGCCGTCTGAACTTGATGTTAAGAGTTACTGCTTTTGAATTACTTATATTACGATCACTAATTGCTGGCACCACTACCAACAACAACTACCATAATCACCAGTCACCACTACAACCTCTACTTTATCACTACAAATTCATACTGTTATGCCGAGGCATGAGTGTGTATTATAATTATGTAAACTGGGTGTTTTGGTTGTTTTCTGTCCCATGCAACAGCCATTTAGTGAAATTTCCGTGTATATATTTTATGTATTAATTATATAAGAATATTCCAGAATGTATTGCATCATTTTTGTTATGATTTACTTATTATGGTAAGCCTTGATAAGAGTAGAACGTTCTAGAATTTCTCAGGCGTCTCTGGGTGATTCTAGGAGGTTCGAAAGGTCTGACAAGGCTTATATAAAGTGGCGAACAGGAGAGTAGTAAAATTAATAATAATAATAATAAGCAGCACTACATAATTAAACCAATATTAATACACAGGTGTGACGACCCAAGGGAACAGAACAAAGATAAAACACCAATAGGAAAGATGAAGCGATCTGGTTGAGCCCAGATTCTTTCTACTCCAACTATATTTCAGTTTCATCACTTTTCTTCAACCCCTAATAATAATCTTCTTTCACCTCATAACTTATGACTCCGCCGAACACAACAACTGAAGACATCTGTTGTGCAAGTATTGTTGTGATTAATATAAAGTGAGAAGACTAAGGAATTGTACACATGTAGAGTACTGACTAAATGTTCCAAGTGAGGAGTCAAGCTGTAAAGACATAACCCTGTGAAGAATTAGTGTTTATTAAAGAAGACTACAGTGCACATGTGTGTTTCTGTGATCTGGTGTAAGTCTACCTGCCTGTCTTTGGTCTGTCCACTGATACCGATCGTCGGGGAATTACCGGAGACTGACGGGACAACTAGTGGTAATTCGACTCTTGTTAGATATCTACTGCAAATCCTCCAATTAAAACTCTCCTCTGGCGTCAGGATGGATTTGATTAGTTGACGGCGGAAAGATCATACGACAACAACAGACTCTACAGACACACACCCTCTGACCACCGCCACCCCCCCCCCGCCCCTCTTTCCCCCCTCGAAATTTTTTTTTTCTTTTTTCATATTTTTTAGGCGTTTTGCCAGAGTTCTGAAGGGGAGTAATTCGTCAAGGTGGTCTAGGTTCCGGGGCTCGTTAGGGAACTACCGGGAGAGGGGGAGGGAGGGAGGGAGAGTGACGGAGATGAGGGAGAGAAGGAGGGAAGGAAAGGGAAGGAAAGGGAGGATAATTGGTGATTAATCTAATTGATGTTTACTTGGTCATAATTACAGCTATGGTCCCCGCCACGTTTTGGCCGGATGGGACACTTGGCCGAGAACCTGGGACTCGGCCGGGGACACGGCCGAGAACCTTGGCTGGGACCTCGGCCGGGGGACCTGGCCGAACCTTGGCTGACTCGGCCAGGGACGCGGCCGAGAACCTTGACTGGGACTCGGCCGGGGACACTTGGCCGGGAACAGCTGGGACTTGGCCGAGAACCTTGACTGAAACACTTGACTTGGCCGAGCCGCTAAACTCCACCATTCCGATTTCATTACAAGTTTGAACATCGGGTTTTAATTTTTTCGGTGGGAGAGAGAGAGTAGAGAGAGAGAGAGAGAGATTACTCGGTTTTTTTTTCATTTTGTTCATCGCTTCCGTTATTTCTCTGTTCGTGGCATCGTTGTGCCCTGTGTCGTCCGTGTTCGTGACGTCCCGCGATGCTGTGTTCACAGGCGTCGTGACATCGTTGTGTGTTCGTGTCGTCTGTGTGTTCGTGACATCGTGTGTTCGTGGCATCGTTGTGTTCGTGGCGTCCGTGTGTTCGTGACACGCTGTTCGTGTCGTCCGTGCGTGGCATCGTTGTGTTCGTGTCGTTCGTGTCGCGTGTTCGTGTCATCGTGTGTTGTTCTGTGGCGTCCGTGTGTTCGTGGCATCGTCCGTGTGTGGCATCCTTTGTGTCGTCCGTGTGTTCGTGGCATCGCTGTATTCGTGTCGTCCGTGTGTTCGTGACATCCTGTGTCGTATCGTCCGTGTGTTCGTGGCATCGCTGTGTTCGTGTCGTCCTGTGTTCGTGCATCGCTGTTCGTGTCGTGTGTTCGTGGACATCGCTGTGTTCGTGTCGTCCGTGTGTTCGTGACATCGTTGGCGTTCGTAGCGTCCGTGTGTTCGTGGCAGCCCGCTGTGTTCCGTGTGTCGTCCTGTGGCA